TTTTTATTATTTTTCTTCAAAGAAATGTAATACATTTATGATATGTACCGTTTATCTTTGCAATTTTTCAATTTCTCACAGTAAAGGGCTGATGTTCTCAAACATGTACTTGCACAAAAACACAACTTGAGTTCTATTGGAAAAAAAAAAAAAAAAAAAAAAAAAAAAAAAAAAAAAGGAATTCTTTTGGTTTAAACAAAATACCAAAATGCTTTTAATACAGAATGCCTGTTCTCTGCCTTTTTACTGGAGCACAAACTGCTACTGCATTGAATAATGCTGCAGCTTTATTTAGAAAAATGTCTTCCAATAGATATGATACTTTTTAAAAATATTAGTTTTACTTTAGTTATGAAAGATGATTTTGATGTTGCAACTGATAAATTTCAGTCACAATTTTGCAGATTACAATTAGAAAATTTGGATAAAGTTATAAAACCATCTAGGATTGGCACCCAGTTGAGTTTAATCGGAAAACTGAAAGGCGCTAATGGAATTTTAAAGTATAGTGAACTGTCTAGAATAAAGTTGGCCTTTCTGACAATTTACCATAGTAATGCAGAGTGTGAGAGTATTTTCAGTATTTTTGCGAAAACAAGGACTGAATTTAGATCTAACATTAGTAATGACACATTAGAAAACCTTTAATTAGCAAGAGCAGGCCTATGTGGTGATTGCTACGAACAAAATTATGAAGTTTCTTTTTTAATGAAACCCAAATCTGCCAGTGTTTTAGCATTTGTGATTTCTGATTTAAATACAGTACAAAGTCCGTTATCCGAACGTCCATTATCCATAATGATCTATAATCTGAACCTCAAAGCCACAAACTTTTTTCTTTTGCATGCTTTGTGCATGTGCGTAATGCATTTACGCATGCGCGTTGGGAGGATGTGTCTCCAGATATGTTAAAAAATGCTTGGCATAATTTATGGCCAGCTACCATATTTTATGTGAGGACGATGAAGATGATAGCTGCAAATTTGAAGGTTTTCGGACATCGCAAACTAAAGGTGAAATTTTCCAGTTATTGGAGTTTGTAAAGAAATGTGGAGAAGCAATAATAAATGAAGATGATATAACAGAAGTTTTTCATTGCAACGATAATGTTCAAATCATCAATCAATTAACAGACGGTGAAATCTGTAGTATGGTTCTAGATCCAGAAAATACCACTTCCAGTAATAAAGAAAGTGACAGAGAGGTTATTGAAAATGAAAAAATTTCGATTGACAAGTTTGTCGGTATTCTCGACACAGCAACTACAGGACTTGAACAGTGGAACTTTGTAACTGAACAAGAAATTATGTCTGTTTATAGAATTAAAGAGAAAGTATTAGCACAAAAAACGAAGCAACTTAAATGAAATGTTTAATAACGTAAACAGATAAATATTAAGCCTTTTTTTTTGTAAATTTTGATACTCTTTAGATAATAATTACTCTTTATTTCATAAATTATGGTTTAATATTTTTAATTGTATAATTTCTGCATGCCATTTTTACCAGATTTAAATTGATGATCTATAATCCGGAAAAACCCTTAATTCGGAATCGCTGAAGTCCCGACGAGTCCAGGTTATGGACTTCGTACTGTATTACTTTTTTGTTAAAAGATACAAGTCATAAAAGTGTTTTTTTAGAAATATTTTTGTATTGTTTCCATTAAAGAATTAGTTACTTAACTTTGAGATATTAATTAGTAACTATTTAAAGTTGATTCATTTGTAAAAAATATATATTTTTATTATTTAAAAAAAGTCCTTTTGTCTTTGAGAAAAATATGATTTCTGAGTGTCGTAGGTTGGCAAGTATGCTATTAAATCAAGATTTATTGCATAAAATTTATTGGAAAAATGGAAAGGAATTTTTTAAGATAGGTGTCATTTAATCTGAACTCTGTTGTATTACGATAAATTTTAATAACCGTATATCAACATAAGGGATCAATCGGAAGCTGTGCATAAATGAGATGCAGAATTAAAGTTAGTGTAAGAACCAGAATTAAGTAGAAATTAATAATAATATGAGAATAAAATGCAAAGTAAGAATAATATCAATGATTAGATTTTGTAATGATGTTTAATATGTTTAAAAGCTTAAATAACTAAAACGTTTTACTTTAATTGGGTTAGAAGTGCAAAACTGAAGATTATTTCTACTTTTGTCTTTCAATGAAACAACCGTCTTTAGTTTTATTAAAACAGAAATGTGCAGCATTAGATACATCACTAAGTTGAATGTAGTAATGGAGAGTTTCTGAATTTAATACATTGTTTAGATGCATTGAGGATCTTTTATTAAATCTTTATTGTTGGCTCCCTCTTCATCACCACTCAGAAGTAAAGAAACAAAGAATATGTTTCTTGAACATCTCTTAGTTACACTGTATGTACATTTTCATTCGTATGCTTGAATTCTTTAAAACTTATTTGAACTTCCCATCATGTATCCTGCTCCACTTCTTCGAATGAAGTTCACTTTTGCAGTATGTTTGTTTTTCAAACTTGGACTTCCATCTTAGTATTTAGGTTTTTGTTCAGTATTTTAAATTTAAGTATTTTATAATCTATCATACATGTTATTCATATACTTAATACTGTGCCCATTTATGCTTATATTATTACTTAATTGCATTTACTATCACTTACTGTCAGCTTCAGGGTGTGTTAAAGTGGCCTTTTTCTGTGCTTCTACAAAGAAGTTTTAAATGAGAGTTCTTCGAATGTTGCAATCAGAGGTACTTGCTTTTGAATGACCTGTCTCTATTGAATATAAGTACCTGCAAATGCGTCGCCACAAAATAGTTGTTAGTAATTAGGATATATTTGCATAGAGTTCATGAAGTTTAAACAGAAGAATTTTCTGTGCCCTTGCTAAAAATGCTCCCCTCCCAAAAAACAGTATATTCTTGAGTGTGCAAAAGTTTAAGAAAGCTGATGAAGAGTACTGATACACACAGCATTTTAAGAATATATGAGAAATCTTGAATGCACATAATGAGGGAATATTTACAACAAGGAACGAGATCACAATACATACAACAGATAATACAAAGCTAAATGATTCACCAAAATACAACATGTTTGCAATCTAAAAATAATGAGATTATGGAAAATTACTTACAGAGCATAGATTTAACCACATCTATTAATGGTAGAATTTTCACTGAAAATTTCCAAGATACTTAAACAGGGCAAATAGTTCGTTTGTTAGAGCAGCATTGTAAATTTCTTCTGTATGACCTGCAATAGTTCTCATGGCAAATGTGGAGCATTCTGAAAATGATGGACCTAACATGCCTTTAGTGTTATTTCTAAGAGGGTCTTTTCATTACCGGTCTTGCTTTGTTGTTGCTTTTGGAATCAATATTTAAGCCATTTAAATATTATTTATTATGCCACTATATAAACTTTTTTCTTTGGAAGCTTTTTTAGTTTTCCCCAAGCATTAATTTATTCCATGTTAAGCTTTTCAATACATTATCACTTTTTTCACTGTACATAATTTGTGAATTTCATTCTTCCATTTCCACTGCATAGAATCATACAAATGAATATTTTTGTTTTGCACCTGTATTTAAAATTATCCCTCTTTGGTTGTGAAGTTTCTGTATTAATATTTAACTGATTGTTATAATTATCTGTTTTAGTCGAGCTCAATATTTTGTCATCTTTGGTCTATTTAGCACAGAATTATTTGGATGGATAATCGATAACTATTTATTCAGTTGGGTTTTCATAGAGCTAAGTTGTGCTCCTCTAACAAAAAAAGTGAAAGTTTGTTTACCTTAGAAAGGACCTCTGTAAACTGATGTATAAATGTCATGCAACATATAAATGAGAGGCATAAAATTGAGAGACTGCTGTTCTTATGTTCACCTGATTGCTGAAACTGATGGCTTGGCATTAACATATGGGTATTTTCATAAAAGATTTGAAGTCCAAATCATGGCGCTTGTAATTCTTACTTCTGTGTTCTGCTGTATTTTTAGAGGAATTAGAAAAATGTTACTCAGGCATTTAAAAAATTAAATTTTTTTTTAAACTTTGTTCTCATTTTTTTTTTACAAATTATTTACAGTTAATAAAAATATATTTGTCATGAAAACATTGCTTTTTTAGTATTGTATATTAGTAATAAATGATGGCTTATGTTCTTTTCTTTAAAGAGTTAAAAAATACATTATGTTAACATAAACATCTGTGTGTTGTTGATCTGTGTTTGCAACTGTGTCTCTGCATATTTTAACATTAGTTAAGAAATGTTTGATCAGTTGTTGATGCCTCAAAGAAAGAATTTTGACACCATAGGACAATTTTTGGATTCTGAGCAATTAAAAATTAGAGTTTTGTATTTTTGCTAACATTTTGTACTTCTACACATTATAAAGTGGAAAGGAAAAGAATGCTGAAAGCTAAAAGCTAATTTTTCTACTTCCTTTCATTAGGTATGCTATAGGAAATGAATTTTATGATGTTATTCCTTAAAAATATATTTGATAGGTAAATTTTTGACAAAATAATAAGATTTAACTACTTGCTGATTGAGATCCCATGCTCTTTGTCTGATGTACTTGTATGTGACTGCTGAGCTAGGATAAGCTCTTTCAAACTTTCAGACTAAATTATGTGTACATAAAACTCTCCCCTCAACTTTTTTTGCTTATTTCATGGACATGCTATGTAGTCTTATGTATTACATTAAATGGTTTTTATAATAATGTGCAGTTTAGGCAAAATTGATTGATCACTTTGGTTGTCCTCATATGTCTCTTGTTGCTTTTTGTGTGCTTTTACTATTGTTCTTTAAAATGTTATAAAAAATTCACTTTATTTTCTTAAATAATTCTGTTACATTTGTTTACATATTATAAAATTTGTGATCATAGTATTATTAAAAATATTTTATATTGAAAATGAATATTATATATTTTCAGTTTTTAAAATATTTCTGGTTATTAAATTTACAATTCTCCTTTTTCCCCCTTTTTTCTGGTAGAACATGCAGCATGAATTTTCTTCTATTAAAGAAGAAAACAGTATTCTTCGTGATCAGAATTGCAATTTAAATCATGACGTACAAGCTTTATTGCATGTGATTCATCACGCTCGTTCTACCGGTCATTGGGAAGTGAGTTATATTTGTTTTATTAATCTTCTGAGTAGATGTTATGTTTTGTGTCATTTAGAGAAAGAAAAACTGTAATGTAATTTTATAGTAACATTCTTTTTTGTTTGTCTGACGCTTCTTATATAAAAGTACATTAATTTGTTTTAGCACTTTATATTGCTTAAGTTTCTAAATTATATTTAAATTGAATGACACTGTCATAACTTAATGAAATTGGTCATTTAAAATATTAACTTTTTTTGCATCCTTTTCCAAAACATTCTTGAACAAGTAATCAAACCAATATATCCAACTATTATCAAAACAATATTCTAGTATTCTTCAAAACTTGGCTGAACCTTTTTTTAATACATATTTCTTTGTAGATGAATTGTGTGACATTCTGTGAAGTGACTCCTGAACAAGTATTTGGTCCTGTGCAATCCATCTCACATGTGTAAGCATTAAAATATGTTGTAAAATCATTTATTTCAAAAATGCTTTTCTGTGAATTTTCAACAAGCATGGAAATTATTATGCATAATAATTGTTTTTCTTATGAGTTTCTTGTCAGTTATCATGGGAATATATCCTGTTAAATACGAGTGATAGAATAATGAGAAAGTTAATATAGTACAATTTTGTATGTGCTTACCTTGCAGAAAGCCGAGTTTATGCCTTTGCTAACGTTTATTAAATTACATGAAAGATATTAATGATTGAAAAGTATAGTTGGGGAAGATACAGATCATTTCACCCCAAGACAAAAATTTGTTTTATCCTAAAATAGAATCTTGAAAGATATTTAAATTAGCTAATGTTATTTCATCAAGTTTGGATTAAAGTTTATCAGAAAATAAGCTGGTAGCACTTCTGGGTGTATCTAATGCTAATATTTAATTTAAATCTGTATTGTTCATGCATAAAATCTGTATAAATATCATATAAATTGAATTTTTTGCACATATTAAGTATAAATAGCTAAATAACTTAATAACTATGTATATATTATACAATATATAACAAAACAAAATCAAATTATCAAACTTTTCATGATTCACCAAAATCGTTTTCACAATTACTAGTGAAATTTAGCCAGTTTTCTATGGTTCAGCCGAATTTTTTCCTAAAATACTTCTACAGTAATGAATCATTAGTTAAAAATTAAAATTATGTATTGTTATTTTATAATTATTTTAATTAGGTAATTTATTGTAACTGAGTAGCTAATTTTTTTTCCTTTATTAAGTAACAAATTGGATGTTGTAATTTTTAATTGATCCTGACCCACTATTCAGGAAACTACTGCTGTAGCATTCCAGCTAGTTTGTTTCGTAATTTTTTTAATCCTTTTTTTCGGGGGGGGGGTAATATTCCCAAAATGCTGTTTTTTCAAATGTTGCTAATTTGGCAGTGGTAAAACTGTGAAGCAGTCCCTAGTTATGATAAATAAAAATGGCAGTTGTAAATTTTTTTGGTGGTAGTTTTTTTTTTTTTTTTTTGCAAAGTAAATTGTTCATTTCTTTGATAATTTTGCCATAATAAGTTTCAGAAACAAAAACATAGCTGAACAAAAATTAATAGCTAAACAGAAACATAGCTGTTATAAATTTTTCTTCTTCGTCAAATGATTCTAATATTTATCCACCAAAGGATTTTCCAAAATAGGGGGAGGCTGCTAGTTTTCTTTTGAGAAATTAAATAAGTGCTTTTAAGAAATGGCATAGCCACATAGACTGCAAATGCTACAGATTGTATATAGTTGCTACAGAAATTCCTGAAAAACCTGCAAGCTACAGAAAGTACCAAGAAAACTACTGTTTTACAGAAAGGGAGGAAGAATAATGATATGGTAAAACAGAACCAACTTATTCCTCCAATGATTGGTGAAATACTCATGACATCATCTAACATATGTTTAGTTGATTGTCTTGCTGATTTTTAAGACTAACCAATGTTACTTCTGCAAAGTTTGGCCCATATATTTCTAATAAAGCATCCTGTAGTGAAGGGTTTGTTGACCCTGCTCATTCCATTTGCTTATTTTCTGGGAAGAAAATATTGGGTATTTTTCTTGTGAGTTGTGATTAAATGGGAAATTTTTTAGTTTATGAATTATGTGGCCTCAAAATAAGAGGCTAAATTTATCAAGACTCATATTTTACAGAATTTCCGTGTGTTAAAATTAAGGTATGTAAGTTTCTGTAAATCAGCCTATATTTGGTTGGCATGTAACATGATAACAAACAAACGCGGCAGTATTTTCTCAAATGCTGTGCTATATTTTTTATGGTTTTTTAATAAACGAAATGAAATTGATTCGATATAACAATTAATTTATATTTGAACCATTTATTGACCACCGGTTTTTTTGAATTTGATTTTAGTTTCAAAGTTTTTTTTAAGTGCAAGGTTTCAGGTTGTCAAGCCCCCCTCCAAAAAAATTAATGCGACATGTGAAATTATTTTTCTGTTACCTATATATGTATGTATACAGATAATGTAAAAGTAGTTCAAAACCTAATCATGTGCTGAGCAGCAGCAAATTTCATATAACTAAAATTAAAATATGTTTAAAAACATCCCATATCAATTTCGGTTGCGCGTAGTGTAAAACATGACTGTAACACGCATATATTTTCTCAAAGGCTGTGCTATAAAATTGTAACAAATATGAAATTTTTTCATAAAAGACAATGAAATGGATGTTATAAAAACTGAACATTATTGAATTTGGTTTTTAATTGAACACAGCCTTTCCAATTTTAGTTTTGGACTGTTCAAAGCAGCTTTTAAGTGCAAGGTTTTCAGGTATTGTCACAGCCCCCCCTCCAAAAAAAATGAAATGTGACATGTGAAATTATTTTTCTGTTACCTATATATGTATGTATACATATAATGTAAAAAGTAGTTCAAAACCTAATCTGATTCATGCTGAAAGCAGCAGCAAGTAGAGGTCATAATGCAAAATAAATTAAAATAAATAATATGTTTAAAATACATCCCATATTCAATCTGGAGTGGGTCATATACAAAAACCGAAAAACAAAAACAAAGTGGCAAACTTCATGAAAGTGCCAAAACTAAAAATGAAAAAAGAAACTTGCATCTTTCACTGTATCATTAGGGGTTAGTGCAACGAAAGAAATAATTCAATCAGTGTAAGAGTATTTGCATTTTTGACATTTTCTTGTACTATCCATGTCTGCTGCTCTGTACCTGTGGGCTCTGGTTGTAGGTGTGAGTATAAAGACTTGAATTTTTGATTGAGAGACTCATTTTGCACTTGAACTTCAGTATTCCTGCTTGTTTATGAGCAACATTTGGTGTCAACTTAATCATATATGTTGTTTTTTGTTTTTACCTTTTAATTTTAAATAAATTTTATGGTTTGCTAAAGTCTTCAGCTTTCCTTCTGACAAGTTTGGGGTATTGTGGCATTAAACACAGGCATTAAACTATCGCCATATCAGCATGTTTCTGAACTGACAAACAAATTAAAATTTGTTACTTAACATGATCTCAGAAAAACAATCAAAGTAATCCGTATCTTTATTAGTCTAACCCCTACAGCCCGAAGTAAGCAGTGTAAAGAATTGTAAAATTATAATGTCAAAAATATTTTTTAAAATTATTTGGAGTAGAACAAGTCTTAAAAAAAATGTAAATACAAGTAATCTAAATACACTCAGAAATAAGAGCAAATGAAAAATCTGAAACCAAACAGGATGAGTTAATTTGTTTTTAAAATTATAGCATCATAATCATAACAAGCAAAAAAAGCTTTAAAATCTAACATCAACTGGACCAGTTTTAAGTGGACCAAATTTGAAGAACATACTGTTACATTATTTTCTTCGTTTGGTGCGTTACGTACGTGTGGGGTTCGTGCAGATTTGGAGTGAATAACGACGACACTACTTGATGAAGTATCAAAACACACTGTATTGGCCAGTGTTCTCAGGACAGCTCCAAAATCACATTTACGCAGTCATCGAAGGTCTGCTATAAACGCGCTGAAACTGAGTGACACAGCCTTCACACGATCAGGCAATAACGGTAAAGACAGCTTCACTGCAAAACACCACCTCCCGACTCTACTCGGTCGTTCTTGGAACTCCATGTACTCTTGAGACTCTCCATGGTACAACTCGCGATGCACTTGACAATACACTAGAGTACAGCTCCCAACTCCTCTGTTCACTCTTCTGGGGTCAACACAACTCTGACAATGCACTAACAACGATATACTAGGAGACTCTTTCGGTGCACTCAATGACTCACTCGGCACTCGTTGATCAACTGTCACTCGATCGACTTGGCAGGACTAAATGACCGGACTGCGCATCCCAGCAGGGTTTATATAGTTTTGTTTGTATTCATGACCATTCTGGGAGAACCGTAAGAATTTTCCCGAAGCTCTCCATCCGTCATGGCATTTGACAATTTGCACCAAGTATGGCAACCCTGTCTTCCCAACAACCCTGCTTTGTGAGGAAGCTATCTTATCGCAACGGGTTTAGCGTATGCTGTTTCCTTCCAAAGACAGCAAGTTCCCGGACAGAAACCTTGGTCTAAAGCAAATTTGATACAAACAAAAATGTTCGAAAACAACAATAATATAATAAAAGAAACAAAATTTAAACAAGGTGTAAATATTTTGTATTATATATTATATAAAATATGTACATAAATTAAGCACATAACAGTTTTAAATACATAAATTAAGCACATAACAGTTTTAAATTATACAAATTAAAGTTCAAAATAAATTGCAGTCTCAGTCTTTCCATTAAGTTATACCCGAGTCAAATACTTTTCCACTGCAGTTCTCAGATGCATTTCTGTTTTGCATATCATAGTCTAAAGGTTCAGTCCTTTCAGACTTTTCATTCACAGGAAGATTTGAAATAGTTTGTTCACCACTCTGTAGTTCATTCGCAGCATGCATACAGTTCACCTCAGTATTTTTAGCAATTGGTACATGCTTCTTTCACTTCCATTTCCTGGGAACCAGCTCCAAATTGTGCATCAGAGTCATGAACAAAACCCGATACTTTACAATACCCTGCCTTGGTTTGCCTTGCCATTTTATGGCAACCCTAAACCTGCTTTGTGGAGAAACTATCTTACCGCACCTGGACATATCGTAACAATACGAAAAAACAATAAGTAAACATTTGATCTAAAATATATTATAAAAAATAAAAAGAGGAATTAGTTTTTAAAATCTATAACATTAGAGCGACAAAAGTTTTGAAATGAAAATACAATACAAAGTCTGAGATCCAGATGTCCAGTACTCGAATGATCTAAAATCCAGACCTCAAAGCCACCAGCAGTCGTTCAAAAAAAATTTTTTTTGTATGCTTTAGGCACGAACATTTGATCCCTGCCAATAATAAAACGTATGGACAGTTCTTATTCTTAATTTCACTTTGTCACAAGATAAAATAC